AATGCGCATACGCCTGCTTGGCCTTCGCGGTCCTGACGCCCAAAAGTTGCAGCGTCTTAAAGGAAATAAGCCACAAAAAAGAATAACAAGGGCACAGAAAAAATGGAGGGGGACATTCAAGGACCGGAAAGCCTCACATGTGACGCTTTTGTGTTTATAACGGGTGGAGGCTAAAGGAAAAGGAAGAGGAATGATAGTAGGAGCCCCTAGTAGCGTCCTTGCTCCTAGTAGTAAGGAGCCCCTAGTAGCGTTCTTGTTCCTAGTAGCGATGCCAGGAGCCCCTAGTAGCATCCTTGTTGGATGAGTGTAGAAGTGCGATGGTGAACATGTCTTGAGTGAGTGGGTGAGGGTGAGAGACAAGAGTGCGTGCGTGGGTGCGTGGGCGAGTGAGTTGATGTGAGTTGAGGAACCTCCCATCCCCTTAAGAGTGACCAAGTGAGTTGAGTTGGCGTTGAATTGCTGAGGCGGAGGCGGAGGAGGACGAAATGTACAGTAGGAACCCTACACAAAGATGTGGGGAATGAAAGGTCTAAGACTCTAAGATGAGGGGACACATGAATCGATAACAAAATAGCGGCAGGTCCTCAAAGCCACCAGACTTGTGAGGGGGGTCCTGTAGCGCGAGCAAGACGTTTTTGTCCACAGGATGCTAAGCCTAACAGACCAGGCCCATCAACTTGCATTCTCTGTAGTAGTTCATCTTCGCGTCCAAGATGATACACAGTGAACATCTGAGAGCGAACTAGGAGAGTAGGTGTCCGAAGCTCACAGCTTTGGCTGCCTGCGGGAACGGTGAACGCGAGTGATTTCCTTGAGACTTTGCTGCCATTTTTGTTTCCTCTTCCTCTTCATCGCTATGTTGGAGGCCGCTAGTAGGCTGGAGGCCTCTTTCTGTCAGGGAGTGGAGGTCTGCCATGTGGGGATTCAGTGCTTTCTCCGCGACAGCTATGACCATGACTCCTCAAGGGCGAAACCACGCCGTAGCAGCGTGAGCTAACTGATGCAACATGATGCAACGATGGGTAATTTTAAGATCCCAAGGGCTGGCTCTGCAGATTGGCTAGCACTGCAACACTGCAACGCAGTGCATCATTTGAAGTTTCCGTTTCGTGAGGTCTTTTTTTAAGTTTTGGAAGCTTGACTTCCAACAGTCTCCGCTGCTCCCAAAAGCGTAGGGGCCTTTTTTGTCACTATAGATGGCTGGGAACACCAATGCCATCGAACAGATGGCATTGAGATGCAGAGAGACTTTTAGCACTCACCCCGAATGGGGCCGAGTGCGGGTCCAAATAAGACTGCACCTGACTCCCCTGCCTGAAAAAAGATTTGTGGAGATATATACTGTTTGCAAAACGGGCGGACCAAAAACACTTGAAATTGATCTTGAACTGGACTAGGTTGGAGGCCATTGCTATTGGTAACACGAAGCTACTTGGAGCAAGGGGCATCACTACTAGGAGCAAGGACGCTACTAGTAGCTCCTGGCCCTACTACTAGGAACAAGAAGCTAGTAGGTTGGAGGCCAGGGCTATTAGTTGTTCCAGCACAGCTAGTTCACTGGACAGGTGAAGGCTGAAACCAAGGCTGAAAAGATCGAACCTGTGAAGAGCGAGGCAGTGGAGACGCAGACTTGTAGTCGCTTAAGATGATAAAGAGACTAACCTAGTAGCAATGGCCTCCAACTGGGACATTATAAAGGCAAGATCTACCTAATTAAACTTCAAGATGAGTGACCGATTCCAACCTCAGCGCGGCAGGGGCATTCTTTGTCGAACCGTGCGGCATGGACTAGTTCCGGCCGCGTAGGTAGGAGGCCATCGCTCTTAGGTTGGAGGCCTCGCTTGTGGGTTAATGCTTCAAAAGGACTTATATTTGGGCTTCGGTTTCGGCACAGGCGGGTCACTTCATCACGCCCTGCACGCCTTTGCGACAGCCACCCTCACAGCTGACTTGTGTGAATTGTATCTATTAGTCTCCTTCGCTAGTAGTAACAAGTGCCACGCTAGTAGTAACAAGTGCCTTACTAGTAGTAACCAGAAGCTATTAATTTCATATCTTCCAGGTACTAGTAGTAACAAGTGTGTTTTTTTATTTCCAGTTGTTCTTCGTACCATTTTGTGCCAACTGTGCACCAATCCGACACCAACGACCCACAGGTTCCGACCCAGACCGGCAACTGTGTAATTGCGGTCTTGCCGTCTACAGTGTGTACAGTCTTTTTTTCTCAAGGCTAGTTGGATCTTGGAGCTCGTGATCCATCTACCTACCTATCTCCTTCTCAATCGGTGTCTCTATGTGATTTCTTCTATCTTTATACTTTATTACTTATCTACCCATGCACACTTTTGTAGCTGTCGACTTGTCCGTTCAACATTGCAGCACCAAGTGAAATCCCTTGAAGTTAGAGAAACCAGCTGGCACACAGGCATCTCTTGAAGTCGTAGCTCCAACTGGGACAATGCAGAACTCCTTGCAGAATCCAAGGTAGGAGGCCGTGGCTTTTCCAAAAGTGCAAGGTAATGCTAGATTAGTTTTTGTTGATGCCTCGTAACCCCAAGATACTATGAGTGATGCGTTGCCATTCGTTTTCATGTAGAAATGATAAATGGTTAAAATTCATGTGTTGCCCAATTTCACTAAAAGGAACAAAAAGCATTTCACTGAAATGTCCACCATTTGGACGCGGATGTGGTCAACAGGTTGAAGCTGCGTTTGGCGCGGGGAAAGGCAACGGCAACAGCTACAACCTTCTAGGACTTCTTGAGACCTGTGTTTGCACGGTGAACTTTTCAAAAACTGCGAGGACTTTCACCGATCCTTGTACAAGAAAGCCAAGTTTGAGTCAGTGTAGTTATGTAGCAATGTAGTGTTGTGTAGCCAATGCCCACTATGTCACAAAACGCCCAGCAGTGCCAACACCATCAACTTCTCAAGAATCACATGTCTTCCACATACCACCATGCTCAACATACCCACATGCCCCCGACCTGGCCCCTCTCAATGATCCTTGGCCTATCTTGGCCTGCTTTAAGCAACAAGGACCCGAATCCAACAATCTGAACTGTTTTGATATCAAGGTTGTCACTAGGTTGCAACAACGTGTAGCTTGTCACATCGTTAGCATGGTTTGTGGCGCCTGGTCGTCCAGGAACGGGACATGAACGCAAGACCTTTTCATTTCTTTCTGTACTTTTTGTTAATTTATCCTTTTCTCCTTTAGACTTGGGAAATCTAATCAAACTCCTCTTAAGGGAAGGGCCAAGGCGGCAAAGCTTCAGGAGCGCTGCGGCGAGGCCAACGTCAAACAGTCTTCGACCGTTGCCCCATTCACAGAAAGTGCTTGAAGGGTCAAAACTTGCCCCTCAAGCCTGTCAGAAGCTCACCAGAAACATCTGGGAGTAGCTTTCTGGTCTTGAAAATATATCACAATCCTTTTTCCAAGCCGTCAAGCCTGTTTGACGCTTCTGAAGTTTTTCTGACGCACTCTTGGCCACAGCGCGCTTTTGGAAACTCTGTTTACTGCAGTGGTCGGATTGCTGTCCAAGGCCATTTAGTTTAAACCTAAGTGAGTGCCAAACCGACCCACCTGTTGGTGATCCGCACCACCCTTTTCCGCTCGCATTCCCCTGGTTTCAGAAGATGTAAGGCTTCGTTTGAAAACGAAACGCTTGCCGCGCACTTTGAGCGAAAAAGTGCAACTGAGGCCATCTCCATTGGCCATGCGCATGGCCGCACAGGCCATGGCCGCCGGGAGTCCTGAATCCTTCGTGTCGCTTCGGTCAAATTGAAGACCGAAGGCCCGGAACGAGACTACTTATAGGAGCAAGGACGCTACTAGGGGCTCCTGGCCTTGCTACTAGGAGC